CTCGCTTCAATCGCTTTTCGCTCGCCTTTCACCTCCTCTTCCTTATATCACACTGCGTGGATGTCTGTGCCTGGCTACAAACCTCTGCTTCGGTTTGCTCATACAACTCGCTCTGAGTTCAAGCTGGCGATTTGATTCGCTAGTTGAACCACGTGGTTAGTATGACTCGCACACGATTGGTTTTTAGCTTCCAATCCTTGCTCAGTGCAGTGCTGGTAAAAGCACTTGTGTCAGATAGGGAAAAAAATAAATGCTCCGGTTTAAAATTAATTCTCCTGTCAAAATTAACAAATATTTTAACAATTTATTCCGGGTCCGGATGGGATGGCATATGGGTCCGTATCCGGACCGAGGTCCGTTGGTTGCGGACCACGGCTTTACAGGAACAACGAATGTTACGAACTGTAACAGTATAACAATTAATAGAGCAAGTAACTTATTATGCAGCATTTTGGACAACCATGTTGTTCTCAAATGCTTAAATAGTCACAGAACCCCACAGGAAAAATAAAAGAATGATAATAAACATCAGGCGAATTATGCATAATGATACAGCAGAAAAGGCCATTCAGTGTGCAACGGACACAACACAGGAAAAACCTTGCAAGTTTAACCAATTACAACAGAAGACACGAATCGTGACTGAAAAACAATGTTATGTCACCCTGTGATTCATGCAAGTTTGAGACAATACCAACATGTAACAAAAATAATTATTCTGTCAGAACGCCGAGAATAGAATGGGTCATAGAAAATGTGGAAATGTCACACAGGTAAAACCAAATAATTGAGCACAGAGATGACCAGGAAGCTGCTGTGCAAATGTCCTCCACAGACATTCCTCCACGCAGAGCTGTGGAGGATGAAATCCCTCTGTTAGAATGAGCTCTCAGATTCTCTGGAGGATCCAGTCCAGAGGAAGTGTAAGTCTGTGAGATGGCCTCACACAACCAGTGAGAAAGATGCTGAGTGGACAGAGGATGCCCTACTGAGTTACCTCTGTAATGCATGAGCAAACGCTGGGTGCGATGCAGTGCAGACGTGTGTGCCACATAACATGAGAGCGCGCACACAGGGCAGAGAAGATGAGATGCAGCATCTTCCTCAGAGTTATGTGGAGGAGGGTAAAAGTCCTCCAAAAATATCTCCCTCGATCTGAACGAGCTTGCTTTTAGGAGTAAAAGCAGGGTTGGGATACAGCACAGCCAAGCTGTCATTGGCTTGTATTCTGAGACAAGAAGGAGCAACAGAGAGAGCGGATAAATTGCTCACTCTCTTTGCAGAGGTAAGGGCCAACAGCAGAGCAGTTTTAAAAGACAAGAACTTAAAAGTGGAGCCTGATCTAAAGACTCGAATGGAGCTTCAACCAGAGCGCATAGGACCAGGGTTAAATCCCACGGAGGAGCAAGTGGGCACGACACAGGTCTGCGTACACCTCTCAGAAACCGTTTCATCAACAGGTGGTTGAAGACCGTTCTGTCACCAAAACAATCCAGGCAGGATGAAATAGCGACAGCATAAGTTTTAATAGTGCTGAAAGCTAAATTTCTGTCAATCAGCTGAAGGAGGAACAGAGATCATACGCCTCTTCTGGTGCACAGGATCTATGTGCAGGAGAGTGAACCATCTCTGGAGGCGTCTCGTGTGCAACAAACCCAGCGGGACCACCACGTAAGCCGCTGACATCATTCCCAGCAGCTGCATGACTGACAGAGTAGTCACTACTTTGCGAGGTCTGACACGGCAGAGCAGCGCCGTGCTGCTGTGCTAATTGGGCTGTCATTGTTGCTGAGTTCACAGTTGCTGAAACACAGATTCTTCCAGTGTTTCAGGATGATGGGCACGTGGAAATACATGTCCTTTAAATCTATGGAGGTGAACCTCCCATTTTTTTGGGAACCAGAAAATAGCAGGAATAAAACCCTGTGTTTTCCTCTCCTCGGGGAACCGTGGAAATGACACCTTTCGCCATCAGTTCATGACTGAGAGTGGCGTTCTGCTCCAGAGATGATAAGACCGTCTTCACGATTCCCCTGAACAGCGGATGGCTGGCTCCAAACTGCAGCGTGCAACCTTTGTTGATCAGCTAATCTATCCACCCCCAGGGAACATGCACGCCACCACTTTGAATAACGTTCTGACAGTGGGCGTGCATATATGTGAGGCGCTGTGGTCCGCATGCTGCTCTCGCTGTCATCCTCTCCACCGTCCTCTCTGCCGGCAGAATCATTCGATCCCCTCTCAGCGTAACCAGAATCGGCCCACGAACGGCAACCTGACTCGGTGGGCCCGTCGCCTCGCCTAGCACCAGCCTTGAAAAAGGCTAGCCTCCGCCTCCTCTCCTCCAGCGGGAGGAGAGCACAGAAGCGGCAAGAGGGCTGAGGCGTGTGAGCGAGATTGGCATGATGGGGGCCCAGGCATCCCTCGCAGATCCGGTGCCCGTCGAAGGACATAATGTACCCTGTCTGACAAGACAGGCACAAACGGATGGAACCGTTAGAAGACATCTTCGCTCTTAGACAGTATTGCTATTGCTGTGCTGAAGAAAAAGAGGGAGTTGTTTGTCCAATTTAACTGTTATTTATACAGACTGGGGAGGGGCCCATCCAGTAGGTGGGCATGGACTAAGATTTTTTCAGTGCTGTGCTGCACCCGAGGAATAAACCCACTAACGATAGCTTTAAAGGGCGAAGCCTATACGAAATAGAACTTGCAAAATTTATTTGACTTAAAGAGTAGAAGATAGTAGATTTTACAACCCCTCCCCAAAACCACTAAGGGTAAATTCTGGCACTGGGTGTAGTAATCAGTAATCTAAACAATTGATGTCAGTAGCAAAACGTCGTTTATTTTACAGTACAGGTAAAATCTCAATGACAGGAGGCAGAAAACACAGTGAATTTTTAAGCTTCAGGGTCTCCAAGGCCAAAACAACGAACAAAACACCCCATTTTAACTCTAAAATAAAACCACCACTTTCTAAAGGAGAACTGAAAAAGGTACAAAACCTGAACTCCCTGGCTAACCACAAAACAGGAGAAAACAGTTAACAACAAAAATGGCAGAGGACCCCTCCCCCTACTGTGAATAGAAACACACTACTTTAGTTAAACACTTGATTCTTCACAATATGCTCACAGCAAGATCATTTAAGTCCCCACAAACAGTCAGCAGACAGACAAGATCACTTCAGATCAAAGCCCAGGGGAAAAGGAATCTGACATCTCTGGCATGAAGGTGAGGTGGCATGGGGTGGCTGACGAGCTCCAACATCTTTCACCTGTGGCAGCCAAGTAGAGAAACACAAAGAGAGAGGGCTTTCTCATGAAGAGAGCCCTAGAGGTCAGTGACCGTAACAGTAGACAACTAAATGTGACCCAAATATTTTACAGGGTAAACTTCACAAAGTCATTGTGCACATCTAATTCTGAATGTCTAACCCTGATCAGAGTTGGGTGCTATGTTTGTAATGGATGTTCCCATTATTTCCATTCCATTCATGAATGTAACTTGCAAAAAAATCATATTGATACAAATTATGATTTGAGCCAGTACATTCATAATTTCTTCCTCTATTCAATCTATATGAACAATTACATCTATGTTATATTTATATTACTTTTTAGCTTTTGGACAGATTTTAACAAAGACAACAAGGTGTTTTTTTTTTTTGTTTTTTTTTTTTTGGTCGCTGTGAGCAGCTGATTAGCATCTCAAAAGTTTAAATTATATCGGGGCTACAGCCCAAAGCTCATGCAAGTTGAAAAGGAGGCAACATTTATGCTGAGTCTGAGTATTGGGCTCCAGGTTATGGGGATTAGTTTGGTTTCCTTTTCAGTTCTTCGCCACTCCGCCAGAGGGAGCCATTGGATCACTCTGCTGGGGAGGGCGTGCCTGCAGGCCCTCTCAACTATCCACACCTGAGAGGAATCATCATCCAGAGGAGTATATGAGCAGCAGACAGCCAACACTTTGCCAGAATGTTTGCCAGTTTTTGGTACTCTAGCTCCACAGTGTGTTTGTTCTAAAGATCTCTTGTGTTTTGCTCAGAGTTTATTCAGGCTCTCACCATATTCTTGTGAATCTCCTTCAGGAATCCTTCAAGGCCCTTGGGGTTGGTTTCCTCTAGTCCACCGGTCCTGAAAGAAACCTTTCCGTGACGCCTCTGCTGTCTGCTTTGCTGCTCCTCTGTGGTGACATATCTGACCAGCCCACCCTCCTATGCCTGGTCCATCTCCAGCCAGCCTACGTCAGCTCTCTCCCCAATCTGGAACCACGTACCTCCACCCGTCATCCTCCGTTTGTTTTTCAAGTAAGAACAGAGCTCTCGGCCATTAGTTATCTCCTTTTTCCACCCCCTGTGAAGCCATCTTAACCTCTCTCTTCCCTTCTGTGCCGACGCACCTGGACTCCGACCCGCTGATCCTCCTAACCGTGTTTCTTTGTTTGATTTTGTATTGTTGCAATAAATATCCTCTTTTACATCCATCTCTCCGTGAGTGTTTCTGCATGTGGGCAAAAAGCATTAGACCCATCATGACAGAACACTCTGGCCAAACTGAAGACCCAGCAGACAATCCTTAGAGCTCTCCACCAACAACAATCTTCTATTCGAAGCATGAGGCCGCTTTACAAGAACTGGGTAACCGACAAGTCGAAACCAAAAGTCGCCTGGCTGAACTAACCGATTTTCTCCGCTCACATTTTCAACAGACTCCTGATCCTGTCGGAGAACCCTCCCAGCCTTCAACTCCAGATCCTGATCCTCCAGTCCAGTCCGCGTTTTCTGACTGTCTGTTGCCTAATCCACCCAGGTTTGACGGAGATCCAAAGAAATGCAGGGGTTTCTTAATGCAATGTACAATTCAGTTCAATCACTCTCCCCATAGATTCATTCATGACTCCGCTAAGATTTCATACATTATTGCACACTTATCAGACCGCGCTTTGGATTGGGCAGAGGTTAAATTCTCTTCATCCCCCGACTACAATTGCACTTTTTCGGAATTCATAACTGAGTTAAAACAAACTTTCAATCAGGATACAGATAAGGCTCTCAGGTCCTGAGACCTGTTAAAGATAAGACAAGGACAACGGTCGGTAGCTGATTTTTCGATTGATTTTTGCATTCAAGCGGCTGCTTCTGGATGGAACAGTGTTGCGCTCAAAAGTGCATTCCTAAACGCTTTAAACGATCCCATTAAGGACAAATTAGCAACATTAGATGAACCCGAATCTCTGGAGGACTTAATAAAATTGTCCATACGGTTAGATAATAGGATTCGAGCCCGAACTAAAGAAAGATGCAATAGAAATCCTCCATCCAGACCTCTTCCAGTCATTAGCCGCACAATCCTGGCTGAGCCCTCACTGAATTTATCCAGCCCCGAACCCATGCAAATTGGACACACAAAATTGTCTCAAGCAGAGAGGCAGCGCAAAATGCGTTCTAAGTTGTGCCTCTACTGTTGCGAAGCCAGTCATTTTGTCTCCCTCTGTCCACTGCTGTTAAAAGCCATTGTCCGCCAGTAAAGGCAAGGGAGCTTGGCGGACCATCAAATAACCATAAATTCACCTCGTCTACTGTTACCTGCTTCTCTACTAGTTAACAATAAATCCATTCCAGTATCCGCCTTGCTAGACTTGGGATGTAAACATAATCTTTTGGATTCATGTCTTGTCCAGCAGATGGGAATAAAGACATCTGCTGGACCTGCTCCCCTTCGTGTTTTAGCCCTTGACGGCAAGATACTGCCACAGATTACTCACCAGTCCCAACCCATCCCACTAACCGTCTTAGGCAACCATAATGAGTGCATCTCATTTTATGTTTTTCCAACTGCAAGTTCCCCGTTGATTTTAGGATTTGAATGGTTGCAACAGCACAACCCCAATATTAATGGGGTTCATCGACACATTGACTCATAGTCATTAACCTGCCATTCATCTTGTCTCCGCTCTGCTGTTCCGCCAGGCCCACCACCGGCAGACAATTATGAAGCTGACCCACCATATCTCTCTTCAGACTCTGCTGAATATCACGACTTGGCTCAAGTATTCAGTAAATCTAAAGCCTCGTCCCTGCCTCCCCACAAACCATATGACTGTGCTATATCTGCTACCTGGGGCTCCTTTGCCCAACAGTCGACTCTACAACATCTCCAAACCTGAAAGGGAGACCATGGAAAAATACATACAGGAGTCATTAGCGGCTGGCATAATCTGCCATTCCTCCTCCCCTTTATGGGCTGGTTTTTTCTTTGTAGCGAAGAAAGATGGATCTTTAAGACCCTGCATCAACTTCAGAGGGCTGAACCAAATCACAGTTAAAAACAAATACGCCCTGCCACTCCTCTCCTCTGCCTTTGAGCCAGTTCAAGGGGCCAAGGTGTTGACTAAACTAGATCTTAGAAACGCCTATCACTTACTCCTCATCAGAGAAGGGGGTGAGTGGAAGACGGCCTTTAAGACTCCATTAGGCCACTTTGAGTATTTAGTCATGCCCTTCGGTTTAACTAACGCACCTGCGTGCTTTCAGGCTCTCATGAATGACGTCCTAAGGGACTTTCTTAATGTGTTTGTCTATCTCGATGACATTTTGATTTTTTTCTAAGAATCTACTTGAGCACAGGAACCATGTCAGTCAAGTGTTGCAGCGCCTCCTGGGGAATAAGTTGTTTGTGAAAGTGGAGAAATGTGAGTTTCACCAACCATCAGTCTCCTTCCTGGGTTACGTCCTCGAGGGTGGACAGGTCAGACCAGCAGAGGAAAAAATCAAGGCAGTTTTAGATCGGCCCACTCCTACTACCCGAAAACGACTCCAAAGATTTCTTGGGTTCACCAATTTCTACCGATGATTTATTCGTAATTATAGCCAAACTGCCCTACCCTTAACTGCTCTAACCTCAACCAAGACTCCATTCAGCTGGACCCCTGCAGCTAATGAAGCCTTTTCCAGGTTAAAGTACCTTTTTGCTAACGCGCCCGTTCTCATCCAACCTGACCCCACCAAACAGTTCATTGTCGAGGTGGATGCTTCAGATTCAGGAGTAGGGGCCGTTCTCTCTCAACTCTCAGAAAGTGATCACAAGATTCACCCATGTGCCTTTTTCTCCCGCAGACTGTCCCCAGCAGAGAGAAATTATGATGTTGGGGATCGTGAACTACTTGCCATCAAATTACCATTAGAGGAGTAGCAACATTGGCTCAAGGGCGCAGTTCTCCCCATCGTTGTTTGGACGGACCATAAAAATCTAGCTTATCTCCAGTCAGCTAGAAGACTCAATCCTCGTCAGTCACGTTGGTCATTATTCTTCTCTCGGTTTAACTTATCCATTTCTTTCCGCCCAGGATCCTGTAACGTGAAGCCAGATGCCCTATCCAGACTTTACTCCCCAGATGACTCTGAGAAGGAGCCTGCCCCCATTCTACCTCCTAGTTGTTCGGTTGCTACGGTGACCTGGTAAATTGAAGATCTTGTTAAACAAGCACAACAGTCTGAGCCTTATCCAGGGTCCGGCCCCTCCAACAAGATGTACGTACCCACAGCTATTCGTGCCTTTGTCATAAGTTGGTTACATTCTTCAAAGTTTTCTGCTCATCCAGGCATCAGTCGAACCGTAGCTTTAGTTAATCGAGGTTTTGGTGGCCGTCCATCCAAAAGGACGTTAAAGATTATGTCTCCGCCTGTCCCATTTGTGCTCGGAATAAGTCCTCCCATCAGCCTCCTTCTGGACTTCTTCAACCCTTACCTACTCCCAAACGGCCCTGGTCGCATATTGCTGTTGATTTTGTCACCGGACTGTCTGTCTCCAAAGGTATGACCACTATATTGACTATCATTGATATATTTTCTAAAGCTTGCCACCTAGAGGTTTTGAGAACTTCCTTCGGCTTTTCAAACAGCTCAACTCCTACCCTAAGAATGTGTTTAGATTACATGGTATACCTCTGGACATCCTCTCTGACCGAGGGCCACAGTTCACTGCTCAAGTTTGGAGAAATTTTTGTCGTGCTCTTGTAGCAAAGGTGTCACTCACCTCTGGTTATCACCCACAGTCTAATGGTCAAGTCAAACGAATGAACCAGGAGTTGGAGGCCACCCTCAGATGTCTGACCACCACCAATCCGTCTGACTGGAACACTTGCCTCCCCTGGGTGGAGTATGCGCATAACTCTCACGTGTCCTCTGCCACTGGGTTGTCCCCTTTCGAGGTCCCTTTAGGCTATCAACCCCCACTGTTCCCGGCTGACGAAAAGGACATCTCAGTCACCTCCGTCCAGCACCACATTCGACGGTGTAAGGTCATCTGGAACAAGACTATCGCAGCCCTTAACCGCACCGCTGAACAAAATCGTCGTTGGGCTGATTGTAAGAGGGAGGGCTGCCCCTACGTTTGTTCCTGGTCAAAGAGTTTGGCTTTCCACAAGAGACATCCCATTGAAATCAATGTCCAAAAAGTTATCCCCTCGTTTCATTGGGCCTTATGAAATTGACCGCATTGTTGGCCCATCGGCGATTCATCTGCGACTGCCATCTTCACTTCGTGTCCACTCCACGTGGTTAAACCGGTCCATTCCACTCCCTTGTGCCCCACGGGTGAGCCCCCTCCCACCCTGGACATTGATGGTCACCCGGCTTACTCGGTCTGCCGGATTGTTGATTCTCGGAGGCGTGGGCGGGGTTGGCAATACCTGGTGGACTGGGAGGGTTATGGTCCCGAGGACCGTTTATGGGTGCCGGGCTCGTTTATTTTGGATCCATCCCTTATTTCTGATTTCTGTTCATCCCAGTCCCCTGGCTCTTCTGGACCGCCAGGTGGCGGTCATTGAGGGTCGGGTAGTGTTGGGTTCCAGGTTATGGGGATTAGTTTGGTGTCCTTTTCAGTTCTTCGCCACTCCACCAGAGGGATCCATTGGATCAGTCTGCTGGGGAGGGCGTGCCTGCAGGCTCTCAACTATCCACACCTGAGAGGAATCATCATCCAGAGGAGTATATGAGCAGCAGACAGCCAACACTTCTTTGCCAGAGTGTTTGCCAGTTTTTGGTACTCTAGCTCCTCAGTGTGTTTATTCTGAAGATCTCTTGTGTTTTGCTCAGAGTTTATTCAGGCTCTCACCATATTCTTGTGAATCTCCTTCAGGAATCCTTCAAGGCCCTTGGGGTTGGTTTCCTCTAGTCCACCGGTCCTGAAAGAAACCTTTCCGTGACGCCTCTGCTGTCTGCTTTGCTGCTCCTCTGTGGTGACATATCTGACCAGCCCACCCTCCTACGCCTGGTCCATCTCCAGCCAGCCTACGTCAGCTCTCTCCCCAATCTGGAACCACGTACCTCCACCCGTCATCCTCCGTTTGTTTTTCAAGTGAGAACAGAGCTCTCGGCCATTAGTTATCTCCTTTTTCCACCCCCTATGAATCCATCTAACCTCTCTCTTCCATTGTGTGCAGACGCACCTGGACTCCGACCCGCTGATCCTGTTTCTTTGTTTGAATTTGTATTGTTGCAATAAATATCCTCTTTTACATCCATCTCTCTGTGAGTGTTTCTGCATGTGGGCAAAAAGCATTAGACCCATCATGACACTGGGCAAAGAGGGGAGGTAGATGAAGCCATTTAAACCATCATATCCATCACATTGTGGGTAATGTAAAATATTTGGCAGAAAAATGAGATCAACTGCAAGTGCCATCAGAATCAGAATGGTGAATTATGTACTTCTTTTGGCTGCAAAACAATAGACTTTAAGCAGTCTCTCTGCCCAACTTATGCATATGTGCAGAGAATTTCAAGAGGGATGGCAAAAGAAAAGAAGACATATTGGTACTGTCAACAACAGATGGTACTGTCCAGTAGATGTGCTACTGTGCAATATTGTTTCTTCAGCACAGATATTACACTGTTAGCTGTATGTTTTGGACCATATCTAAGAAGGCAGTTCTCCAGTAGTATATTTTACATAATGAAAGTTGTTTTCATTATGTAACATCCCACTGGTTTTAGTGGTTTTAACTCTGCTACATGTCCAACATTTCAGCGGTTTGTCAGCTACTCTGCCAGTAGAAAGCAAAATGTTGGATTTGTTTTATGCTGTTGTCAGGGATTCATCACCTCTGCCTACTCTTATTTTCTCTGCTCACTGTATAAACCCCTTGTTCAGAGACAACCAGTAGTAAAAGATCAGAGAAGATGGTCACACAAAACTGAAGAAAACCCTGCATGATTGGTTTAAGGCTATTGATTGGGATGAGACTGGAAGTCAAAAAAGGTCTTCAGGAGTGCCCCAGCACTTCAGAAGACCTCAAACTCCAAAGCAGGTCAAGTCTACTTTGGAGACTCAACCAAAGCAGTTTCCAAAGCTGCTTTGTTTACCAGCGGGTCCTTGCTGGTAACAAGAACCCGTTCCTTGTTTACCAGCTGTAATATCACAACAGCTGTTGGTAGAATGGATATGGTTGCAATATACCACTGGTGAACTTTTTTTAAAGAAAATAATAAGGACCATAGAAGATGGTATCTGGTATGATGTGTGCTGGCTGATCGGAACCGATTAGATGAGCTCATTAGGAAGACCAGGTCTGTACTAGGATAGCTCTTAAATCCACAGCAGGTAGCGGGAGAGAGGAAGTCTCTTGGACAATGTCTTCAACTCCATGCATGATAATTTGTGTACAGAATGTCATTTTTCTGGCATTGTATATTTTCCCTTACAATACAATTTGTGTGTTTTTTTTTGTTGTCATTATTGCTTATATTTATATCTGCATTTGATATTCCCACAGAGCAACAATAAAAACTGGTTTTATTCCATTCTACAAGTTTGTTTAATACTATATCAATAAACATACATAGAGATAAAGATATATATTGTTTGTTATTAAAAAGTTTATTGTTTTTCAAATTTGTCAAATCTGTCACTGTCATGTATGCCATTTGGTCCTTAGGACATCTTTAATGCAGTGATCAAGCAGAACCCGTTCCTTGTTTACCAGCTGCCCTGCTATTGGAACGTTCAACTGTCAGACCACACTCGCTCTGAAAAATGCTACAAAGATGTATCAGACCTGAAGGTGAGATCAGGTGTTCAGAACTTTCTACAATCAGTCTTTGCCAATATTTAAGGTGACTGTAAAAAACAAAAATGTCATCTTGTTACATTGCTTATTATTGTGTATGATTATTGTATACATTTTGTATATTTATTTCCTTAACAGTAGTATCTTCAATTAGTATATTTTTGTGTAAGAGTCATCTATTGAAAAATAATATGAAATGTGCTGTGTGACAGTAGATCAGAAAGAAAAATGGATGTAATATAGTTAGCTTGGTTCCATAACAAGCTAACTATATTTTTGACCATTATTTGTGGAATGCCATGGTATACTGAAGAATTGTTTTGATATCTGCTCAAAGAGAAAGTAAACTTAACTGTTTTCATCAGACTTTGTGTGAATTATTGTAAATATTTTTTGAATTTATCAACTGATGCATAAGAGCATTGAACGTAAACAAGAAGAAACTGAAATTCATGGAAAACATTATAGTTTTTCTAACTTGAAACAAGTAAGCAATCCATTACAATGACAACAAAAATGTGTCTTGGAACATACGTGACTTAACTTTTTGCCTATCCATCAGATGAGTTACTGTGGTACAGCAGGAAATAAAACAAATGTTTAAAAGGCTGATTACCAGCCCACTGGTTAAGCATTTTCTGAGCTGTGGGAAATTGCTTTAACTTTTCTGTTTGGTTCTCCTAAACAGGTGATCCACTGGAACTCCCCCAAGAAGCTACGAGTCAAAAATAAGCATGTTGAGTTCTTTCGAAATCTTTATCTTACTTTTCTGGAGTATGATGGTAACCTGCTGCGACGGGAGCTGTTTGGCTGTCCAAGCGAGGCTGACCCCAACAGTGAAAATGTAGGTGAAACTTTTTCTGAAATACCTTGTTTTGCAGCACAGTAGAGCTACGGACAGTTAAGAAGTTAATAAACCAACTGTTCAAAGTACATGTGTGCTAAACAGTGTTTTTTCAATTGTAAAATAACTTTCTAATAGTTTTTTGGCCTTATGGTGAACTGCAATACCCAAACTTTTTAAGAATGTCATGTTAATTTGAACATTTTAGTATTCTCATGAAATCCTAACTCCAAATTTTTGCTTCACAAGGTGACATCTTTTGCATAACTTCTTCTTTTCGAAATCTTCCTTCCTCCTTTTTTCTTGGTCCAAACATTGCTTTTTGAAAGATTACTTACTGTGGTTTTTGATGATAGGCTGCAGACATAATTTTTGGTGTTACTTTTATACTGTTTGGATAAACATAGCAACAACAGTTTTTTGAGTCGGCTTCAGCTGATCAATATTTAAAAAGCTAAAATTATCTAGACTTTGAGAACCCACAACCCAAGATAAGCTGAAGAGAAGTTGTAGAGGCAAAGTGAAGACAGAGAAGGAGGAAGTTTAAAAAGTTGCTTTTATTTCTCAAAAAGAGGTCCTTGACAAATAAAAGGATGAACTTGAAGTGCTGACAAGAATCAAGTCAGAGTATTGGGAATGCAGAGTTAAGTGTTCAGTAAGACATAGCTAAAGGATCAAATTTCCTACACCTGTATCTTTCTGCCTGCCTTTCAGACTGTACGGGCAGACAGATTTGTAGCAAAAAGAAAGTAGGTGGATTAGAAGTGTTAGGAAAGCTACCAGCCTCAAATGATATTACGGCCTCAAATGTATGAAAAGGTGCATGCAGCAGACTGTACTTAAGAATTAAGACACTTTGTACTTCTTAGGCTCCCAGTATTTGTCAGAGAGTCCTATCGTCTAAAGAATATTTTGGATGAGTCTTTATTTGTTTGGTGTATCAGAAATGAACAAGAGGCCGAGTTCAGAGAGCTGGTGGACCGTTTTGTGGCTTGGCATGGAAACACGTATGTTTGCTGTGGAGAATGCAATCTGTTTTGCCATCATATTATGGGGATATTGACATCAGTCAGCAACTTTTGTTCTTAAAGTTTTTATTATTTCAGAACATTATTAACTAATCATTAATAACTAACATTATTTTTGGTGTTTTGATATATTAGGCATCACTGCTTGATCCTTCAGTAAGCATAGTCTTGGTGACGTGGATATCTCCACACCTATCCATTTTCCGATGTGTTGTAGTACTGCTTTCCAGAATGGAGAAATGCATTTATATTCCCAGATCGCATGTATAAAGTTCTGGATTCCGTTTTGCATTTCCAGTATAGGTTATTGGTGAGTAGACCCATTCTATGAAGCCTGGAAGAGGTGAAATAAAATCTATAGTACGTAAATTTTTTTCTAGATTCTTTAATATATTTCCCATTATTTGACAGCCAAAGTCAACAACTTAAAGAAACTCAGTAAGCTGATATGCTGAATTGCAAAAAGTTATTCTCAAAATACGATCACTAAGGATTTATAGTTCGTTATTAATCATTTTGTAACAAGATGGAGAATGTAAACATGGAGTGCTGGGGTGATTTATCTGCACTAACTGCAACTCGGATATTTCAGTCATTAAATTGTTTCTGTGTTTTTTTCTTTTCTTGCAGCTGCAAAAGACTCTTTCCGAGCTTGATGAAGATGACCCCTGTTATGAATTTCGGCGAGAGAGATTTACAGTTCATCGAACACATCTTTACTTTCTCCACTATGAGTATGAACCCAGTTCTGACCAAAGTGATGTCACTCTTGTTGCCCAGCTATCTATGGACAGGTACTGCTGTACACCTGAATCATATACTCTTTGCATTTCAGAGATGTACACTAAACATTTTTGGTACATCTGTTAAAGTGGATATATCATAGCGTATCATTGGGGGCGAAGGAGGAGGGGTCCAGGGGGGTGGGTCAAGAGAGAGATGGTGGAAGGGGGTGACGGATAGGGGCGGACAGACAGACAGCGTATTGCAAGAAGGGGAAGTAGGTCTGACTGTGCGCTAACCTCCCCTGTCCCCCCAGATATGCTATTTTATTTATATAATTATAAGTAATTTCCACTATCAGTAATGTGTCTACCAGAGGATTCCTCTGGTCATTATCTTTCATTAGAGTTCTCATTGATAGCTGTATGTTGAAGCACTGAGGAGTTACAGTCATTGAAGTTTGTATAGCAGATTTTGTCCAAGTGTGTCATTTGGAGACTCCAAATGGAGACTCCATGGAGACTTGGACAACACCTGTACATCCTCAAAAATAAACATGTCCAAAATGACATTTCTTTTTTGTGCTATTTTGATCAGTCTTGAAATCCACAAGCAGAATACTTTATTCTACAGATTTATTGTATTTTCCAGTTAATACATTCCACACTCAATGTGCATTTACAAGAAATAAAAATGAAAAATCCGGGTGAAGCAAAATTTTTCAATTTCTTTTGTTTCAAACATAATAGCTACAAATTACTTAAAGTATTTTTGACTTGTCATCTTCATAAAGAGACCAAGCTTTTGCATGCACTCCAAATTGTTCAAGAACACCAGCTGATTTAATTTGGGTATACCTTTTCAGTTGTTTTTGGTGATTTAGGGGGTGAGGATTAAGGGGTTAAAATAGGCTGCTATAAGCGTTTTTAGCGGACATCTCAAGGATTTGCAGGTTTTAGCTGTTAGGTTATGTAGTTCCACTATAAGCCTATAAAACTCCAGTGTTTGGAAAGTATAGTTGATTTTAGTGATTCATATTTTATGAGGTCAACATACTTGTCCTTCCCCCTCTGTAGGCTCCAGATGTTAGAGGCTATCTGTAAGCACTGGGAAGGCCCCATCAGTTTGGCCCTATACCTTTCAGATGCTGAGGCACAGCAGTTCCTGCGATATGCACAGGGATCTGAGGTGCTGATGGGCCGCGGAAATGTAGGTTACCATGTAGTCTACAAAGAGGGGCAATTCTATCCGGTCAATCTCCTGCGAAACGTTGCCATGCAGCAAGTCAACACAAACTATATGTTCCTATCAGACATTGATTTCCTCCCCATGTATGGCCTCTATGAGTATCTCAGGTAAGAAAGACAAGTCTTTCAATTAATTTTTTCAATTTTATTATAGTGCACAACTTCCTTTGCATTCATTGTCTTTCCTTGCAGGAAATCAGTGGTACAGCTTGACATGGCCAACACCAAAAAAGCCCTAGTAGTTCCAGCCTTTGAGACTCTGCGATATCGCCTCTCCTTCCCGAAGTCTAAGGCAGAATTACTCTCCCAGCTGGACATGGGCACACTCTTCACCTTTAGGTGTGAAACAGAAACACTTATATTATTTCTTGTCATGTTTAAGTGTTACTGCAAGCAGCTTTACTTCTCCTTTACTTTTATTAAAAAATATAGCATGGAAACATTTTTGTCCAGCATCTCAGAAAGCATAGGCGTAACTTCCTGAAGGACTAGTGTGGACATGTCCCCACCAACTTTGGCATGAAGGGGACAATCCCCACCAATATTTCCTGCACCTTTTTTTTCTAATGTGCCTTCATCTATGTAACTTGGTATAGATGCCGAGTTACATACACGTTGTATTCAAAGCATTTACAGACAGGTAATGCTTTTTAAAATTCCTTTGTAAAACGTAAATGGCAAGTCCTGGGGCTCAGTGCTCTAGTGGATTGGACATAACGTGTCACATGCGCTATTGCTTTACATTGAGTCAGGAATATCGGTGGTCGGGGAAATGACACAATCAAACAAAGAATCTGAGAAGGGGACGCAAAGTTTTGATATCGTCAACACTACGATAGCAAGATAACAAGGTCCAAAGGGATCACATTTCACAGGTCAGTAAAAAGCTTTAATTAAAAAATATATATATAAAGAAAGTGGAGAGTAGATTAGTTATGCTAGGTTAACTTTTATCACCTTAG